ATTAGCAAAAATATTTTACACAATGCTGGATTCTCATGACTTGTTATTGGGTGCATTTCTTATAAAGCTGGTTTTAGTGGACAATATATAAAAATTTGTTCTTCTAAAACAGGGGTGGGGGGTGTCTGGTTTGTAGGCCGTATAAGGCCCTTGAAATCATTTGGTCTGATCCTGACAAGGCATTAGGGGTGAGTTTATTAAATGTTTGACCAAATATAGCAGGCTAATATTTAAGTTGATAATTCTGCATGGCCATCGAATGGTGTTATAAATATCCAAATGGCCCCTGGCAGAAAAAAGGTTCCCCACCCCTGTTCTAAAAAGAACTCAAAAGACCTTGTAAAATTCTGCTTCATCTACATGGTAGTTTTATTGAAAAAGTCAGTTTAAATAAAGTCTAACAGAGGTTCCTGTCCCCTCCCTCACCCCTCCCCCTTTTAAAAACTCATAGACACAGAGAACAGAGTGACAGCTGAGGTGGGGTGAAGGTGCTGGGTGAAACAGGTGAAGTGATTAAGCAAAAACACAGACACACACAGACAATAGCCTGGTGATTACAGAGGAAGGTGGGGTGAAGGGAGGTAGAAAGGGGTATAGGGGGAATAAATGGTGACCAGACTATGGAGTGTTGAACACACAATATATAGATGATGTATTACAGAACTGTACACTTGAAACCCATTTAATAAAAAATGTAACCCAACAAATTCATTACAAATGTATATAAAAAAAACAACCAATCAAATAAACAAAAACAAAATCCAAATCAAGTACTTTACTGTGGAAATTTTTAGTTCCTTTATGGGCTAGTGCTGCAACTATATTTCCCTAAGATGTTTCCATTCTACCCCTTCCAAAAATGAACAAAACCTCCAGTGAATCAAGTCAGGGATCTACCCTCACCTGCTCAGCATGAAGCCGCTAGCCTCCGGCCATCTGACTTTAATAAGTGCTGTCCTTTGACAGTCTGCTCAACGCTGCTCTGCCTCTGTATCCATTTTTGTTCATCAGTGGAATGTCAAGGGGGGTGGGGGCGGGAAAGGAGACATGTGTAATACTCTTTGTAATACTTTAAGAAATAAAAGAAAATTAAATTAAAAAAAATAATAAGTGCTGTCCTGGCTGCAGTGCCCACAGCAAACAGGTTTTCAATGGTTGTTGGGAGCCCAGCCCAGAACAGAGGCAAGAAAATTCAAATGCGTAATAGCTTTGAAAATGAATGCTGAGGTTTTCTCTTCACAAGGATGTACAACAGTCAAGAATATCATTAATTTAGTTAGGGACAGACTTCTATTGTGCCGGTGGTGCTGGTGCTAAGGAAGTGGGGAAGCGTTAATGATGTTGGCCGACTGCCTTCACTTGGGTTTTGGTCTGATCCCGTTGTTTCCCCAGATGGAGATTTGAGAATCTTGCTGCCTCCATTTTAGGATTTCCATCCCCAGTGCCCTGGGAAAATGGCATCAACATGCCATAAATGTAATTTAAGTCACAATCTTGCTTAAATACTACTACATTTAACATAATGGAAGAAATCTTTCTTGTTTATCAACTTACTCCGAGTTGAGAAATCCATTTCAGAAATGTCATCTAACTGTGAGGTTCTAGGCCAACGGCTTGAGGCAACCCGTTCATTTTGGCATCTGGGCACTACTGCTACAAAAGTGAGGAGACAAGAGGGTGCCTGGGAGTGAGTAGAAAGCCTTTATTAATTCCAAGTGGTCCCTAGTTCCCCAAAATTGTCGAGGAGAAAAGCCCCTTACTTTTCTGTTCTGAGAAGACTGCTGGGAAGAAGGTGAGACCATTCAAAAGGCCAGGAAGTGCAGTTAGAATTAAGAGCTGAGCAGAAGTTTTGGTAAAGTACTCTAAAACACTTTTAACCCAAACAAAACGCCTACAAACAACTCAAAAATATGGCTGTTAGGACAGAGATGCCAAACATTTAATGGAAGGGATTATGAAATATAATTAGCAAGCTTTCCCGGAGAACTGTGAGCTACCATTGCTGGCTTCAATCAGGCAGGGCCTAATCACAAAATACACAGGAATCAACAACCAATAGGCAAGTTTTACCTGAAACCTTCTTAGGTAGTAAGCAGAGCAGTGCCCACCCCTAGCTAGTACCCCTCCCCGTTTTTAATCAATCACTCCCTTCATTTCAAAAGTTACACTCACTCTCCAGCTGTGCTCTTACAGTTTCCTGCCTCCTACAGCTGTGCAGCCAACCAGACACCCAAGTCTTCTGGTTTTTCATTCTGACGTCACTATGTCTGCCCCTTCTTTTCTGCTCCCATCCCTAGGGTTGCCTCCTGAATCAGGCCCAGAATGTGTGGGTCACACTCATTAAGGTGCTTGCTTTTAGCTGCTCTCAAGAGCTTTAGCTAACAGTTTTAACTCAGCTTTAGCTCAATGAGTCATTAAGATAATCTGACTAATTACCAAACGGCTCATTTGCACTGGTGTGGGGATGGCATGAGAGTCATCTTCAACTATCTGAGGGCTGCCATATGGCAGAGGTGGGAAATGCCACCTGCATTGCTCCAGAGAACAGGCCTTAGTGAGAGAATTAAAAAAAATAGTAAGAAAAGCAGAGTCAACGTTACAAAAGGGAAAACCTTTCAGGTGACATCTGCATAAAATGGAATAAAGCACACATTTTTACTAAAATAAACTAGAAATGGCACTTTGTAAACATGAAGGGGATGCCACGGACCATAGAACCATGGAAGAAAACAGAATTCCACGGGATGGCTGAGAAAATGTTTCTTTACTGAAGCTGTTTCTTTGACAGCCCCACTGCCTAAGCCTACTCCTTCTGACCAAAAAAATGGTGACAAGGGTGACCAGGTAGGGATTACCGTTTAGCTGAGCAATAATTTGAGTAAAAGTGCCAAAACACACCTCAAGGATTTATCCACAATAACGGACCATATCATTTAAATGAATCTGTAACACCATGGAGAGGAAGGCATTCACGGTACTCACCCTTATTATGTATATGTTCAGCGTGTTCCAAAGCATCGTCTATCTCCTTCTCTAGAAACCACTTTCTAGATGCATCTGAAAGAGCAGAAGCTTTCTTTTCTGATTTCAGCTGAAAGTCTTTTTCTTCAGCTTCCTTCCACTAAATATAAATAAGGGGGGTGGGGAGAGGGGAAATCACATGAACATTGTGGTAATGCACGTTCCTGCAGCGGAAGAAGCCCCTCTGTTCCCTCTGTTCTACTTCCCTTCGTACTGCCCAGGCACGTGGCCCTGTCTGGAGTTCGGGTAAGTGGGTGCCGGCCTTGGCCAGGGCAGCTGAGGAATTGGAAAGCGGAGGCCCTCCTGATGTCACTCAGTGCCAGGTGCACAAACAGGTCCCAACTGTCACTGAGTTAATGCATTTCAACACATTTCAAATCTCAAGTCTTATAAGGTTAAGTTTTAGTTTTTTAAACGAATGACAACTATTTCATTTAGTTTGAATGCTCTGCCTTAATAATAAAGTCTCTAAAATTCAGAGGATAATTTTTTTTTACTTTCAGTTTCATTGAGAAATAACTGGCATATGTCACTGGGTAAGCAAGCCATACAGCGTGATGGTGTGATTTACGTATATGGTGAAGTGATTAAAACAGGTTCAGCTAAATCCATCTTCTCATATAGATACAACAAAGAGAAAAGAAAAGAAAAAATGTTTTTCTTCTGATGAGAACTTTCAGAATTCACTCTCTTCACAACTTTCCTATCTATCTATCATACAGCAGCTGCTAGCCATGGTCATCATGTTGTGGTGAATAAATTCTTTGCTCAGCTCTGGTATACTTAATGACTACAGGGAAGTCGAGTAATCACTATTAGCCCCTATTTTCTTCTTCCCAAAGTGAGAAAACAATAACCTTACAATGAGCTTAAAGGGTAAATAACAATCAATTTGAAAAACTATATAATTCCTAAGGTTTACCTATGTTCTAGCAATGTAACAGGTTTTACATACAAACTTTTAATATTGACCAGAACTGAACCTTGACCTGGTTCATAGGTCAACACTCAACCTCTGAGCCACCTCGGCCAGGCTATATACAAACTTTTTATATGCCAAATGTCTTTTATAGAAATGCTAATGAATTAAATATGCATTAAATAACAAAAACTTTAAAGAATTATTAGGGCCAGGGAGGACCATAGAGATCCATCCCTTTCATGTTACAGATGAGGAGACTGAGATTGAGTAATCCTCCAAGACATAGTAATCAAGCTAGAACCCAGGACACTGGACACAAAGGCAGATCTCTGCATGCCATGAAAAGCTAGGATTCTCCGTGTACTCTCAAACACACCATTTTACCCACAGGAGAGTAACACCTAGTTTTACAGTCTAGTAGCCCCAGTGCCAGCAATCTTTACCTTGCAGATGTGGGCTTTCATCACCACTTTCCTGAGAAGAACCTCAGTGATCTGGCATCACTCCCACCCCTTCCCATCCATGAATGAAAAGGTTATATCCTGGGGCTGAGTAGGAGGAAGATGAGTCTGGAACAGTGACTTGAAGAAAATATATTATGGAAAGCTTTCAGAATAGAACTATGATCTAGCAGCAGAAAGAGGAATGAATGAAAGCCAGTTATCTTCTTAGGGAAGGCCACTGTGTCTGCTACATCCATAGAGCACAGGTCCCCGAGTTGTTCAGGGAGGATCAACCAAAAGATACATTATGTGTAATATATACTCTTAAGTAATCTCCTCAAAACCCATTCTCTTGTTCTTCTTTGGGAATAGAATTCTAATTCTATTTGGGATTATAATGCTCCCTGCTAAAAAGACTTCATTTCCAATATCCTTTGCAGCCAAATGTGGCTAGAAATGCATCTGGGAATTTGGAAAGGAGTTCTGGGAGATGGAGCCTCTTGCACTTCTGTCCTACCTTCTTCTTGCTGAATGGAATGTGTATGGGAGGCTGAAACCCATCACCTGGATGGTAAGTTCGCCTTGACAATGAGAGACGCATACCAGGAAGTAGGTAGAGAAGCTGGAGGAGGCAATGTCCCGATGGCCTTAAGTCAGGAAACAACACCCCACTGCCTGCCTCCAGACTTCTCTCATGTGAAAAAGAAAAACTTCTATCTTGTTTATCATCACGTTTATTTTGGTTTTTCTTACTAGCAACTACATATAATTCTTAACTCTTCAAAATCCTCTACATTGTAAGTATAAAGAATTAGATAAAGTAGTAATATTACGCAATCAGCCAGGACAAATCCCACAAGCTGAGAATCTGAGACACACTAATGAAATGAGGAAGATGCTTAGTCAGTGTTAGGTAGCATCCATCAATATTGGACTTCTCTGAGCAATACTATTAAACTTAGATCATCTTTGCGTTATTTCCCAACAAAAAATTACTTGGTTTGATGTTTTTGCCATTTGGTTATGTAATATCTCCAAATTTAAATAATTAGTAACAAGATTATAACATTATTCTTACTTTTTTAGCTTCATTCTGCATCATTGCATTCAATACTTCTATTTCTTTCCTTCTGTTTTCCCGAAGGAGCTTGGCCATTTCCCGGTAAGATTCATTTCGTTGTTGATCGCTCCATCTTTGTTTCTGTAAAGCCTGAATTTGCCAGTCAGTATTTAGACAGGCTTGTTCAGCTTTTGCCAAGTTTTCTTCAATTAACTAAGAAAAAATTGTACATTTCAGAAACAAGGTCAGACTATATATAATTATGGCATATCCACTTAATGTATCCAGGGCAGCTGCTTGTAACTCTGGGTGCATATTCAACCACCTGTGGGTGTTTAAAACAAACTGATGTCTAGGATCCACCACAAATCAACTAAATAAGTCTCTGGGGTGGCTGGGCATTGGTCCTTTTAGAAAGCTCTTCAGCCTGGCCATAGTGGCTCAGTTGGTGCACCGAAAGGTTGCTGGTTCGATTCCTGGTCAGGCACGTACCCGGGTTGTGAGTTCGATGTCTGGTCGTTTATAGAAGGCAACCTATCGATGTTTTTCTCTCTCTCTGCCTTCCTCTCTTGAAGCATGTCCTTGGGAGCAGAGGGGGGGATCTTCAGGTGATTGGAATGTATAGCTAAGGTTGAGAACTTCTAGGCTAAGGGATAGGTGGGATTAAACAATTTCATGTTTCAACCCCTTGAAAAGGAGTCAGGAGAGCCCATTCTTACGGACTGGACAAAAATCTTTAAGGAAAAAGATGGTAGGAATATTGTAGGGTTATCAGCCAGGAACTGTTGCAGAACAGAAGGTAAGAAACTCCTACACTATTCGCGGCTTCTGCCAGGCCCTGCCACCAACCCACTTAGCATTCTGTCTAAGGGATAATAGAGAACATTCTTTTGTGAAGATCTCATATTCCATTTCACTTCATTTAAGCCAGAATTTCTCCACAAGAAATTTTATAAGTTTGGGAAATTTTCTTAAAGAGTCACAATGTACTATATCCTCAAATTTGGCATGAAAAACAGTATGACAGAATTTCCAATATTATTTGTCACCTTCCATTTTACTGCATAATAGTTATTAATATTTAGAGAATATACTTTGAAACA